AAGTCTACTATCACTATAACCTAATGCGCATGCAAATCAACATCGCTGTGCCGCCTTGCTGTGGGACACACAGTGGACATCGTGGAAACAGACGACCGAACTGTCTGTAGACTGGGCCTTTAACACCACGCAAGGCATTGCACCTAACGGCATTAACAGTCGACTGGGGCAATCGACTGGTGCCCAGGAGACAAGTGAGTGAGGTCAGGATCGTTCGCTTAGGGATGCAGATACAATTTTTTTTAAAACAAACGAGGACATTAGAAGAAAGCAGCCAGAGATAAGTGGAGGAATATGTCAGCCGAAAAAGCTTCAAATTGGTAGAATTTAATGTTGAATCTACCGCGCATGTTTCCTAGTCCCACTTAGCCGTCATTGAGTATGAAGAGTCCAGATGGTTCGTATCCCCAACCAGCGCAGGATGATATCTAATTTGTCAGAACACAGAGTGACACCAGAGCGGAGGAGCGTTGCGCCTCAATCTATGATACTATATGTAGTCGGCAGGTTTACTGCACGGGGCTATAAGCCAGTTTAGCCACGGGAGGCAAAACATTGTCATCTTTGTCGACTGCGTTTAGGCAAAATGCATGAAAATCTATATATGTAAATAAGGTGTTCAATCTCAATTGGTACACAGTGTAAGGCTACTTGCAATCTACTCACAAAGTATGCCACAGTTTGACGTTAAGAGTACTCACCTGTCAAGTTGCGTTGCGCAGGACGACGCCATGCATATGTCGGCGTGGTAACTATCGCTGAACTCGTGCCCACCTGCTGAGACCCTGCGAAGGAAAGCGGCAGACCCCACGAAGGACTCTGGAGTCAGAAACGACTTGTACTGGTCAGCAAGACGCGAACAGTCCTCCGTCAGCTGAAGAACACGGACGACGCACCCGGAGCGCAGAGCTTGGAGTTTACGAAGTTGATCCTAACAAAAAAGAACGATCAAGATCGTGCGTTTTAATGGACGGTCAGGAGAAGATTTAGGAACCCAATAGGGTACACGATGTTTGTGCCTTCAGGTACTCGTCTTGCAAATTATCCTCTTCGATTCAATGAATGAATTACTAAATCAGTTGGGATTGGTGTTTACAAGTCTATTCTGATTGGAGCGCATGCATCCATGCATGTAATGGTATGCAACCAGCATGTGAAAAACAGAACCGATGGAGGGAAAGAGGATCATAATTTCAGTTTAAGACTTGGTTGCGATCATTAAGCAGTCGTCTAGCCAACTTCAAACAGAAACCGGTAAAATCTGTGGCTCTGGGGCGGCATTATCTGATCATCGAACACTAAAAATGCCCTCCGACCGAGCCACGGACTCATTTCCTGCCGCCGGTGATTGCGTATCATAGTCGACGGGGAGCGAATGAAGTAACGACCTAAAGCGGAATTAAAATGCGACAACGCGCGGCACGTTAGGTCAAGCCAGCAGCAAAGTGCATTCGTGAAAGCAACCGACCAATTAGCGTGTGCCGCATCATCAAGCAAAATGGAGCTCTATCCAATCATGCAGCCCAATCAATCGTCAGTAAATTTGCCCATGAGAGAGTTATCGTGTAAGAAAGAGCCAATCCGCGATCAGCGCGCCAAAGTCCGATGTGTTACAGAACCATCAAATAAATAAGATGTATT